CTATACTTTCGCTTAGGGAATCTAACAGTGATGGTCTCAGATCGCAAAATCCAAAGGCAACTTCGCAAAATCAAAATTTGAGGTGTCCACATACTTTTGTTACGCACTGTATTACGCTACACAACAAAATACATATGACACTGCCCACGTCTATGAGAGTTTTTGCTTACTTTCGGATCTATGGACTTTTCTCGTCCTTGGCGCTTCCGAACCCATCCATTCAAGCTGCACCGAATAGCTCCTCCTCTGTGGGAAACTTCTTGCAAGCTCCAGCCACTTCTGTAAGTGCCCCAAGTTACAGGCTAGGGTCTCGCATGGAATGAACCAGACAATGATGAGGCGCCAAGCTGGCCCTATTGGAGCCAGATGGAGAAAAATTGTTTTCGAGATTATGCGGGTTGCGGTAGTAATAGCTGACTGGGGAATTTGCGACATGATGGAAAGTCAATTTTTTTGGTAAGTAATTCAAATTCAACCAGTGGTTTTTTCAGTATGGTATGGGACTACGAAATACTGCACATGCTTTCGTGGAAGCCCTAGAGGTGTTCGACGACGCTAAGCGAGCCGATCGCAAGGACTGGAAAGAGAAAGCAGAACATAAAGGCGACAAATGTTTCAACAAGCACTTTCCAATTGGAAAAGTCTACTATTTGAAGGTTCGAATATAGCGCTAGTTCAAAGAATTTACTACACTTAAGACAAATGACTCACTGTTTGCTTAGGATCTTGCCATTTTTTCAATTATATTTCCAAACTGGCCGTCAACAAGACTTTTATTTCAGAAGTTGTATAACGTCGATGCTGAAACGATGTTCAAGCACCACTGGAGTGAGGTAAAACTCCCTAATTTGCTCACAGTTTCAAGGTCTTTCTTTGGCGTTCCGGTTTTTGGTAAAAGAAGGAAGCACGGGCGAGGCTGCGGAGGTTTTCCGGGGTATGTGACATGACAATCGCGGAATGCCGCGTTGGTAGGTGTGACAAGCGATGCCGCGCCCACGAGAGACCAGCTGTCCTGCCCGGCTGCTTCTATTCAAATGTTGGAGGGTTTCCGTCCAAAAGAGTCGTGGGTGCCCCTAAGCCAAGATACACCATCCTTACTACCGTCAGAAGGGTCGCATTTTGTCACTAGGGAAGGGTTCTCATCTGGCTTCAAAAACGTTTCTGGAACTTTGAAGTCTAATGTAGTCTAATGGTAGTGTTGATTACTGCTGCCCACGATTAGTGACAAGAAACCCTTCGCTCTTCGTTTCCATTGCTTCGGGAAAGCCAGTGAAAAGTATAAATAATGCAAAATATAGGAGGTAGAATAATTAGGAAATAGGGCACTATTCCACTACCACTACTACTACTACCCCAATGTTGTCAAATCAAACCAGTTTTCAAAGAGTTTTTTCTCCGGATTAGCTAGATATTTAGCTAAAAATTTGATTCCAGTGATAGCTAGACTTCTTGGACGCGACTATCACATCTGCTTGGCTTGAAGGTGACTGGCACCCACGCCATGGGCGCCGGCGTCAAAATACCCTCAATCACCGTATTTCCTGAAAACTAGGAGAAGTTTGAATCCTGAACATGAATATCACACCCGCTCGGCTTGGAACCGCCTGGCGTCGACGCCACAGGCGCCGACGCTGGCACACTCTAGGTCACCAAAATTGATGAAAACATATAGAACGAGCCACTTGAGATCCTGATTACGAATACGACATTCTTCCTTGACGCCGGCGCTAGTTTAGGGCACTACGACCATAACTGCGCTCCGATAAACAATAAGAGTGGTCCTGGCGGGAAGAGATCCTCCTTCAATGACTCCTCCTTCAATGCTCAGCCTTAGCAGAGCGCTAACTTTTGCACGACGTCCTAAGGATTTCAGCGAATTTTTGCTTTGAGTTTTCGGAGTAGTAGAAGTGGAATAGTGCCGAAAATAGAGTATTTCAGACCGTTATACCATTCGTGTTGTAATTTCAGATCGAGAAAACGCCGGAATGGAATGGAAATGTGCAGAGTGTGGAACGTATTGCTACGATCAGCGAGATGGCCGATATTATTCACACGTTGAGTGTCGCTGTAGAAGTCAGCTCCGCATATAAAACTAATGGGAGTGGTAAGCGCGAGGGCGGAGTAGTTTCTGCCAGATAGGTTATAGGATACTTCGATCTATCCTCACAATGAAGCGGCAGTGGTGGAGGGATTGATGTGGGAGAGCAAGGGGTTCAAAGGCATTCTCGTGAGAGCTGATCGTTTGGACATCCAATCAAGCGCTCTATCAAGCAGGGTTTTTGTCCTGATAATTCACAATAATAGTGACGAAATAGGAGGATTGCGACTCTTTCTCGGAATTAGCTACTAGCTCCCGTAATCGCCTCCCTTTTGCCGGTGTAATGCTGAGGCCTGCCGATGTAGTAATGAGCTTTATCCCCATAGAAGAGACTAGAAGCAACTACAAGATTCCATGAAGGATGAAAGGCTTACTGGTCCTGAATGTCAGTCCCGATCTGAGAAAGAGGATACCCCATTTCCCTCTCTTATTATATACTAAAGGACTCTAGAAGCAAAGTTTGTGCTTAGCGTAATGAAGCTGCTCATTTTCTCTTTTTTCCTAATACGCAGTTAGAAGAAATGAAGTTTTCACAGAAGTTCTGAGTCAGAGGCGTTCCATACAGGGTCCAAGCATCAAGTCGTTCAGAATACTCGCTGAGTGACGACCGTCCTCCGCATAACACCTGCGTTCGCCAGATTTTGACCGAGCGAACCCTTTACCCTGGGCCCCGTGTTCCGTTTTATGACATTTGTAAACGAACTTTGATTTTTTAAATTTTTTGTCTCTACAAAAAACAGCAAGCGGATTCGTGGTCTTCGCAGTTTACTATTCCTAGTGACTTTTTAGAATTTTTCGAACAGTCAGTTAATGTTTACTGTTACTTTCTTATTATTTTTCAGTATACAACGTCGGACTCGATCGGCATTAAAGGCCGTGACTTCGTTGTATGTCGAATGTGGAGGAAGGTAAACTGTAGATTTCAACTCATGTAGGACACTTGATTTATTCCAACTTGAGGCGGTCATCCTTCAAGTGTTCCAACTTGGCTACATTAAATGATAGGTTGTCAAGAGAGGTTTCGCAGTTTCCAGGATTTAGTTCGACCTGAAACCTTCCACGGAAAATTAAAGATAAGTAGGTAAGTAAGTAATATAAGGAGGCACGATAAATCGACAAAGCGTACAGAGTCGATGCGCCTAGCCTAGAATATTGCGCTCCTTAGCAGGCGCTGTGTATTTTTTTTTTTGAGCCAAGGGCACCGCTTTAGCGCCTAACTAAGGTGCAAAATGCCGGCCCAAACGCCCACTGCAACCGTCCGCCCACAAATGCCCACACAGTCACATCGACGCTAGTCGCTTTTCTCGCTTCATTTATGGAGCACAAATGGTATGAAGCATTACTGTATGGATTTTTTACACGATGTTGGCGGAATTGCTGTCTGTATGCTCGTCCAACGCCGTGCAGAACAAAGGATACAGGTTGAAGGACAAAATACCGCTGTTCCTTTATATTCTGCTTGACTGACTTAGCGTCATTAGCGGTCTCTTACCCTGTCCGTGTTCGTGAAGCGTCACCAAAGCTCCCGGTTTTCGGTCTACAAAACCTGGGTATCGCGCTCCTTTGCAGTTTTTTTTCATTTATGAGTTCCTGCTAAGTGAATCGGCAACTCCTATATCAGTGATATGTTGCGTCGCTCCTCTGGCGCGCTATCGCCTACTTTATTGGCTTCCCGTTACTAGATGATTACATATCTTTTTGCAGGTTGGCGATTCCTATGTTGTAGCAGCCACCAGTTTCGAAACAGACATTCCAGTAGCAGCGAAGAAAAAGCGGTATGTACCAGTGGATAAGGAAGGTGGTCTGCGATTCAATGTTACAGCATGTATTATTTGACAAGCGATGACTTGTAGCGATGACCTCCGTGTTTTTACTGGCTGTTTTCCATCGAAGTCAGGCACTAGCTGATCGCTACTGGCAGAGACAGGCGACCGTAGGCGTACACGGTCCTCCCCCCCCTTCCTCCTGACATCGCCCCGACTACATGTGACGGTATGAAATATACCTCCCTCTCAATCATTTCGAGCATCCTTTTACTATAGGTGAAAAAGATTAAGATTTGGTGTGGTATCAGAGGATCGAGGCGGAGGTGGTGTAGCGTTCAGTGGCACGCAAACCCCGCAACAACTTCCGCTCAGGCCAACCAAGGTTCTACTTCCGGGGGGGTTAAGCTGGCTAGCAGGTCCTGTGCAGAGGATTAAAGCACTGAATTGACATTCAGCTGGCTCCTGCAACTTATTGTTCGGCCACATGCATTCAGATCACAAACTACGATTTTGGATAGAAGATGGAGAAAACGTGGCGCATCCACCCAGGGATTCTCAATGGCGAAAAAAGGGGGACCTTTTTAGTTTTATCCTTTCATTGTCTTTCATTACCATAATTTATGAATTTATTATTTGTTATTAATATAATAAAAACTGTTTATATTTCAGCGGATGGGCCAACGTGGTCGCCGGCAAGTTCGCTCCGTTAGCAAATGATCCCTCAAAATGTACCATTGAATATCTAGTATCAGTGGATTTGAAGGACAAGGTCACGCCGAAAGCGGTCAGATACTTGCATGAAACTTCAGGGAGGGGGGGCGGTTCTCACTGATTGCGTGGGAGAAACCGAGAGCCATTGTGCTTTTCTGATTGGCGCACCTTCCTTGGACTGAATCACAATTAGATGTACCAGCAAGGAAGGTGCAGAGGCTATGCCCCTTCGTGTTTCCGCCCACCATGGTCGCCTCGACCGTATCTTAAAGGATATGCCTACGAATCATAATCGAATATATTTTTAGGTGCTAAGCCACTGATCGCTGAAACAATGATAAAGGACGCTCGCTATGCCTTTAAAATTGTTGAGAAGGATTTGGTGAAAAAGAAACCTGAATAGCCTGTGTAGCGCTGGATATTATAGAGGGCATTATAAAGTATTTCTCCACACACTCTAGATTCCGTTCGGCGTGTTTCATACAAAAGTCAACAGAAATAGAACTTGAATGCTTGTAGAGATCGTACTGCATTTCAGCAGAGATTTCATTGGATGATGTTGAAGTTTCAGAAGAGGACAACTATTGGCTGTATTAGTGCTCCATCTGAGTGAAACCTATACGGCAGGGCACAGCATTCGATGGGGATTTTGGTCGAGCTTTTACGACCCCCCCCTTTTTTTCAGGGGCTGGTACGACCCCCCTCCCCAACAACGACCAAATACGACCCCCCCCTCCAAAACGTCCGCAAAGCGAGAAAAATCAACTATAAAAATAAATTTTTCCCAAGCCCAAATACGACCCCCCCCATCGAAGGCTGTGCCCTGATATATGGCACTCCCAGCTGATATTTCGCAATCGGTCTGGGCAGTTTCATCAGGCATGGGCCCACTCATGGAGTTTCACCACTGATTGTGTTTTTCCTAACTATCATTCACTCACTAACCTATTGCTATTGGTAGAGAAGGGCAGCCGGGCGGATTCTGTCCCTCCTGATACCACCGTGACTGAATTGACATTATCAACTATCCCACTCTGGCACCGTTCAATACAACCGAGTATCTTGTAATTTTCTTTGCTGAAAGTATTCATGAGCCACTTATTTTTCACTGTCATTGATTATGAGTGTGGCTATGGGTAGTGACCCTGATCACGTAGTAATGGCGCTCGATTTTCGACGCTAAAATGGGGCCTATGGCGCCGTGATGCCGCAGTGCTCTACCCTAACTCGTCACAGAGTGGGGTTATTCATCGCAAAATATCAATTTTCGTTACCGCGTGCAAGTGCAGAGCACGCCGCGTTCGACTTGCGCTTCTGCTGAGTGCGAGTCCTGAAAAGATTCCCTTCGATCTCCAAGCACCCATGGTTTATCGCCGTGGAATGGCGCTGACAAAAGGAAAGTCGATTATAATCTACCGTGTTCGCGAAGTAACCCCAAGCATGGCAGGATTTACTGGCCGCAAAGAAGAACTGATTGCCGACTTCAAAGGGAAATTCGGGTTGAGTGTGCAGTTACTGCAAAGCACACAGACCCATGCACTTTACCCACTGTGATGCACACACGGAGCACGGCATTTCTTCGCTAGAGGGAAGAAGACACACTTTTTAAGAGAAGCGTCCTCAGTTGCTCACTTTTCCCGCTCCCCACCTCCTATCCCCCTCCCCGTTCGCGTCGCGCTGACAGTTTTTTGTTGGGTGAAAAGTGGGGGGATTGCTTCCGAAAAAACTACGGAAAAAAGGTCGTATATAAGAAATTCAGGGAGGAAATAAGATGGTAGGTGTATGGGTACAGGGAGATGAGGAGACGGTGGTACCAGAGGAGAAACTTCTGAGAGGCAGTCGTATTTTGCAGAAATTCTCCTTAAAGGCAGAACCCGCGATTATTCGCCATCTCAGATTGTGGATTAGGGGGTTCCATATAGAGGACCAACGGTGAGCTGAGTAATTCGATAGTGATGAAAAAGAACAAAAACATGCCACCTGCCCGAGATAGAACCCCATTTCGATCTCAGTTTGTACGTGCCCGATTAACGCTATCTCCCACACTACGGCCCTCATACGCACACCGACACTCACGAAGAACTCCAAGATCGTACAGTGACGATTTCCATGCTTTTTCGTCCTGCAATCTCGTTTTTTACTAAAAGAAGGACATTGGAGGCGGAGTCTCTGGAAAAAAGGAAGGACCAGTGAACCTATATTGCGCTATAGCGCCCCTCCATTGGAGTTTTTTGTCGCGTACAAAGTTGTGTCACGGACCACACTAACCTCCTGATGCCATATTTCCAACTTCGATACCTGATCGCAGACCGTACCTTTAATGGTAGGACGTGCCCTGTGCACACTGTGGGGTTTTGCTCTCTGCGGATGCTAGCGTCCGGGTGGGCGAATGGGAGAGGGGGCAATCGTTGGAAAACAGACTGGCCCATGCCAAACATAGCCGTCTGAGACGATCCAGCTTCCGTAGCAAACAAGACTGTAAGTTTATTTGAAACTTGATCGAGAGAAAGTAATATTCAGGGAATTTACTCAAGTATGAGCGATACCCCTTCCATTGATATTTATACTCTTATTTTTTCATTGGAACACCTTGGTACGTCTCGCGCAGGCACTTTGACGCAGTTCCAACAGTTGCGATTCGTTGACGGGTGACATTCAGGAAACATGACAACTAGAATCAATCGCGATTGAGGATTCCCTCGCTCGCACTAGAGTGCACCTTTCACAAAAAGGAGGCAACCTTCATTCACGGCGTCCAGTTCAGAACTCTTTCTATTCATCTACACACCAACCATGTTTCACTGCTTCATAATCTGTGCATCTGGAGCGTTTTAATACTGCTTTGAAATGTTTCGTAGGCAATTGAGCCCTTCAAAAGAGACTAATCAGAGACGCCATGCATACAGGGGGGCCAAAAAAAAGTCATTCCGGCCGAGTCACATATGAGCGAAGTTTTCGCAGCCCAGACAGGAAGTGGATATGAGTACCAGGGCGGAAGATACCCAAGATCTTCCTCTATAAGCAGGAGCCGGCTGCCGCCATTCACCTTCATGTACACCAAAATATGAAGTCATCTCCAGTCGCGGCCTGAGTGGAGAACGCCTTTGGAATTCACGTGGCCTCCAAACAGCTGCGGAACTTCTTGATGGATCACCATGGATAGCTACTGGAGACCAGTACTCTTGATCTGCAAGACCTCAAACATCGAGCAGCTCCGGCAACGTCGCTACGGTCCAGGACATCATCTTCACCCCATTCACCAAGGCGCGGGTTGATGGTGTGGACCGGCCGTACCTGGAATGGAAGACCGTTCTTTGTAGACCCCGACTGAAGGTGAGCGCTGGCGGTTACATCAAGTAACTCGAGAAGGATATCCTCCCTACATGTGGTCGCCCGTACCTTCTTGGAGACCTTGTGCTGCTACAGGTTTGGGTGCCACCACATGGAATCGAAGGGTTTTGGAAAAACTCCCGCCTACTTCGAATGGAAGGGCGTTTCGTACCTGATGAAGATGTAATATTGAAGTATGTCCCCTGACCTGAACCCACTCAATTACCTAGTTCGGGCGGAGCTCAACAGGGTGGTCTACAGTGGCGGAGAATCTCGCTCAACCCGGTACCCACTCCACTTTTCGAGGCCGAATCTCTCGATGTGCCCGCTCCTCCAAGAAGAGGGGGGGAGGGCTGTGGCGGAGTATCATTATAGTATTTAATGTGCTCTTTAATATGGTAGTAAAAATGTCCGATAAAAATTTAATAAAGTGTAACTTATAGCGCCTTGAAAGTCATGGAGGCAAAATGACTTTTTTTTGCCCCCCCCCCCCCTGTAGGTACCGTTTTAATACAGAGTGCAGTACTGCTTGGAAACCAGCAATTTAACTCAGTGTGGGAATCTTTTGACGGCCCTAAGAACTGGTTTTCGTATGGTTAGACCTTCTTCTAAAAAGTTGTTGCTCTTGAGACTGCCTGCCGACTTTTCGCGTGCCGCACTTTCGGAGGTTTTTAACTACTGCTACTACTCTCCTACTCTTACTCTCCTACTTCGTCCCTTGTCAAGCTGGAGCAAGCTCTTTGCATCATGGGAAAACCTGTCGACACTTGTAAGCTCACGAAATGGCTCCATAGATGGGTCGAAAAGTCGATGGGAAGAGCGAATTCGTGAAATGCTTCTCTCCCCACGTCGGCCGAAATGCGCCGCCATTAGCTGGATATGTCCGAGCGATGAGTGTCTTGTCTGCCTCACAATGCGTAACTCATTCCCAAACTCAAAGTAGTTTGTGTGGGTGAAATGAGAGGCGCTTCAGCGCCACTCCTGCGGAACTTTTTGCTAGTTTTATGTTAAAGTAAAGCTGCGAACTGCCACAAGTAAGCCTTTTGTTCAGTGAGTTCAACAAGTCTCCACAAGGGGCGACTGGGCACACAAATTCTGCGCGACAGGGAAGTCCGCCAAATTACCATGGAATTTTGAATGGAGACCTGGGTAGATCGATAGAGTCTATAAGGTTATTTACAAATATAGATAGCAAAACAACCTTGCACAAGCAACTTATGAGCAGGTAAGTTGGATGTTGCAGTGGGCGTAGAGGTTTTGCGGGGTGAGCTGTGATAAGCTAGCAATCATTTCGTCGAATCGAGTTCGTTCGAACGTCCGGAACATTAACCGTTGAACCACAACGATCTTACTGCCACCATTACAATTTTACCTGCCCACTTAAATCTTATTAAATGCAGGTTACAGTTTTGCTATCCTATTCCTGTCATGACCTTATAGACTCTATCAGATTACCCAGCTCCTATTCGAAGTTCCATGTTTAATTCTGGCAAACTTCTCTGGTGAGCATCATTTGGTGCCCCCAACAAATCGAACGGCCAGCTTCCTAACTTTCACCTCAGGATTTCGAAACCAAAATCTGATTAGTGGCATTGTGTTGTGTTAGCCAGTAAGCGGGGCGGAAGTTCCAGCATCACGTTTGGCATGATGAAGGCTTGGGTGGGTTTTTTTCCAACATTTATAGAAATCAACCTTACTTACCATCCTACGATGGAGACATTACCCTTCTTACGAATGAGCTGCACCTTGACCTATGCCAAATGCACTCATATCTTCCAGCGGCTGATTTTTACAGCATTTTCATTCCCTGATCGTCATAATGGTTAATGGTCCATACGTATTCTGACTGATGTTTGTTCTGTAGACACTAAGAATTGAAGTTTAAAGGCTATGGCCACAAATCAGGTACTCGTCCAAAATGCATATGTAGAGGTGCGGAACAGAACGAAAAAAATGACGAAAAACAAATGAAAAAGTCCAAAAATGCTGCGAGGAAAGACTTCCTTCTTCATGACTCGGAAATTAAGTTTCGACGAGTTTCCCATAGGATATCGATGGTCATAACCACTACCG